GTTAGACATACATGAATTACTTATTCAAAGACCAAGCTTCATATCAATGTATTGTTTTACTGTATCTGTCGCTGGAAATACAGTTGCAGGGTTGTCATAGACACTCCTGTCAGAAACGTTACACGCGGCTGGGTATTGTGGCACACAACCGTAATCCCAGCACTTTCGATGCTTAGGCAAGAGCATTGCTGTGATTTTGAGGCCAGCTTGGGCTAGACATCAGGTTGAAGTCCTGCCTGAACTACATACTAAGACCTTGTCTCAAAAAAAAAAAAAAGTAACATTTAAATTTTAAAATGAAACACCAACTGTGTGTTTACTGATGGGTTATGAGTGAGATCGAAACATGGCAGCCTTATGAGGCTCCATCATTTAATGGCAAGACTCCCGCAACTATGACTTTCCAGGAAGAGCCTGAGGGTGCTCCCTGGATACCACCAGCACTTACCAATCACCCGGTGACTTTGGAGTTTGAAGTAGGTGATCACATTCAGTCTGGTTTACACCATAATGAAGATATTTTGTCCACATGAAGAATGAAGTGTTGAAAAGGTTAAGTAACTTACTTAAGTTTGAATTCAAATCCAGGTTATCTTGGCTCTAACACTTTCTCTAAACGTCTCTAAACATAGGATGGTTCTGGGCAATTTGTTTCTGTACTCCTCCCAAAGTTTGGAAATCCTGGTTTGGAAATCATTTGCTAGTGGTTGTAACATTACCTGTTTGCAGGAAGTAATTTCTTGCTGGTATTAGAGAGGCCATTGATGTATGTTATAGTTATTTAAAGCAATCATCTGAACAATCCTTTGGGAGTGCGTTTAACAATATTTCATGCAAATTCTGAGTTTAACACATTTTAGTGTCTTATATTCTATTTTTTAAAATAACATAACAAAGAGTTTAGGATATTTGTAAATTGTAAAATGTCATAATAGAACTTGTTCTTTGATACTCTTGGCTTAAGATGATTTTTGTGGAGAGTTGACAACTTGTGTTCTAAACTGTGTTTGTATTTCTCCAGGCATTGTCCGTCATGGTATGTACTCTAACTTTCCAAGAAGTTCAATTATTATAATTAGATATGTTACATTAATCTAAAATGGTTAAAGATGTGGCTAAAAACAATCTAAATTAACCAGTTGGAATCGTTATCAATTCATGATCCAACCAGTTATAGTAGAATAACACCATATTCTTCTATTGATTGGAGTCCAAAAATAGGAAATTTCTGGATCAAAGGAAGCTGTTATTTATAATATTGTTTGACCAACAAAAGTAAACTTGTTTCTAAATTGTTGCACATTTCATTCCTGAGTTCTTTGAAATTTATGATCCTTTATGGCTGGGGATTTAGCTCAATGATGCAAGCCATGCCTTCCTGTCAAGCCCAAAGTTCTGAGTTTGATCCCCAATGGAAAAAAAAAAGTATGATCCTCTCACAATGATGGTTAATCCCCTTTTAGTTTCACAAAAATATTGAAAAAATTTTTTTCTATCACATTCATAAAATGTTTTTAACTGATGAAGGGATAAATCTATTTTAGATGCAATTTAAAGTGGGTTCACCTGGTTGGATTGTGTATGACTATTCTTCATTTGTTTGCAATGTGTGATTATGCATGAATTTAATTTTAAACTATCATAACTGATAATTATAGAAATGGGAGAAATATATAGTTACTGTGACTGTTAACTTCTACATTTTACCAGAATTAAGAGAGAAAATTCTGAAGATATCATTTATCACTGCTATTGTTTTCATTGTTGGCTTTCCCCTTAAAAAACCTGCTAATGCAATGAAGATTAAAAGATTAATTTAGTGTTTGCATAGAAACAATCTATGCAATGAACGAACAGATCTACAAGAATAAAACAAAAGGTTTGAAAATTATTTAAGTAGAAGAAAAAATATTTAATTAACAGGAAGGTTCTCTGTTGCACTTATTGTGGTTAAAAAAACTACAATACTATTCCATAATAAGACACACTGCAATCAAAAACCAAGACAGTTTCCACCAGAGTTGAAACACATGAAGGAAAAGGCTAGAAGCTAAAATCCTTGTTGAAAGCCCTTGAGGGGTTTCAGTACACTGAAAAATTCTGTTTTATAGAGGCTGAGGAAGATGATACTGCTGACTGTTTACACCCTGGTGAAGCTACAGCTGCCGGCATCTGAAATTAGTTGGCATTGTTTCTCAGTAGAACTCCTTTAGCTCAGTCCCACAGCTTAGCTCCCTTATTTCGACAACTGTCAGGGAGTGCTGCATAGTCACTGAGGATGCTCCCTCAAGGCCAAGATGAAGGTGGGTCACAGGCTACACTGGACAGGCACACAGTGGACTGGAGGATGTGATTGTGAAGTGTCCCTTGGATCTCAATTCCAAATAATTTAGCGAAGACAGTCTTGCAGGCAGGACTGGGCTTCCTTCAGCAATCTACTCTACCTTTAGCTTTGCATTTTATGTTGGTCAACTCACTCTACCAACAGTCAAACATCGTGGTCTTTGAGCACCGTTAGCAAGCAATCCAGAGAAAGCATGGTTTAATCAGGATGTCAGCAGCATCTTCAAAGGTGTTGCTCTTTGTTAACCTCTTTCCCTTCTCCTCAGATGACTGAACTGTGCGGTGGATTTAATCATCTTCTAAACCTGCATTAATCCAGTGCTACGGTATTACAACCCACTAGCAACCCAGGGAGATATACATTATTCACTATCCCATTTTTTCAAATAAGGAAACTATATTCAGAGAAGTTAATCGGCATATTTAGTACGTGGAAAAACTTCCCACTCTGCAAAGGGGTTGACTGTTCTAACTGCCTGTGAACTTTAAAACAGAGTTATGTGAATAACAAAACCCTTGCTTTTTGTGCACTGTATCTAATTGGTAGTTTATGTTGGAGGGTTTTGTAACACACAGGGTTTATTTTTTATAGTAGTTGATTTCTATATTGGGTGACAATCTTTACGTCCTACTAAATTTTTGAGTGTTCAAAAGGTGCAAAGTGATATGTCTGAAAAGTTTCATTGCCTAGCTGCTGCTAAGGCACAGCCTTATGCCCCAAAAGAATAAAATTCAGAGCTTGAACTCTGCCACAGGTATTCTATATGTTGGATTTGAAAGTTAGGTTTAAATGACTTTATTGATTTATGATACATTTCTTTAAATCTATAAATAACTATATGTTTTCTCTGGAATTGAATATTTTCTTATTCACCTTCCTTTTATTCTTTTCTGAATGTTGAACTTTCCCTAATATTCTTTTATGTTACAAACTTAATTAGTGGCTCTCATTTTCTCATCTGTAGGTACAACTAAGAAACATACGTCTTTGCTAGAGTGTTAGAAGACACTGTTACACAAAGTAACGGAGGACACTGTTTTGTAATTTTTTTTCATACACTGGCATCATTAAGAAATGAGAGCTAGATTTTATCCTTTTATACACAAAACTAAAAAACACATACATCTTTTGACTATTGTATCTATTTACAAAAAGCAAAAACCCTCTTATCCACTCAAAAAAAAAAGTTTCACTGAGAATGTTGCTCAAAGCAAGGCAACTTTTAAAATGACTCTGTCATCACATCCTTAATTAGTATAATGGTGCCCCAAGGCCTGGGACCCCTTGGTGATTTCTGGCCCCCACACTGAGGGAACCCTGCATCCCTGTAATTTTAGTCTCTGTTTTAGGATTCCCCCAGAAAAACAGAAACAGCAACAGCCTGGCAAATCCAAAATCTGCAGGGTAGCCTGGCAGGTCTGAGACCTGGAGAAGAGATGCTGTTCAGATCCAAAAGCCATTCTGCTGTCTCAATTCCTTCTTCATCTGTGGAGATCAATCTTTTTCTTTTGGATGAGGCCCACCCATGTTATGAAGGGTTACCTGTTTCACTCGTAGCTTACTGATCTAAATGCTAATATCTAAAAATAGCTTCACAGAAACTGTAAGGATAATATTTGACCAAAATCTGCCTGGATCCATATCCTGGACAAGTTGAAGCATAAAATTATCACACGTTCTCTATTTTTGTTTTTTCATAGTTCTCCTGTCTCATCCTCAGCTTCAAGCTGATTACATTTTATGCTGCTGAAGAAGTAGCTTCCCAGAACAGCACATTCCATACCTCCTGATTTGTCATATTGTATACTGAGAAATCAGAAAATCCAGTTTATTCAAATGCCTTTTAAAGTAAGAGATTCAGCGTGGAGTTGACAGGTGCTCACGTTCCAAAGAGTGTGCCTGGGTTTCAGAAAATGACTTTATATCATTTATTACTCCTCCTTGGTTTGATTTAGCTTTGAGATAGAGTCTCACTCCGTGGCCCAGGTTGGTCTCCCAGAAGTTGCAGTCCTTCTGTCTTAGTCTCCTGAGTGTGGGGACACAGATGTGTGGCCCTGTGCCTGGCTTCCTCTGTGACTTTTGACTCGTGGTTACCAGTTGTACTTGAACTAGCAAGACTCCTGACTCTCAGATAAATGGGATTACCAGTCTCTGCCGAATACTTAGAGATGAGTAGCTGCACCCAAAGGACGGTGAACAGGCCCACTGATTCTGAACCCTCCGATTTTTTCATTCTTTTAAATTCAGTGTGTTGGTTCTGCCCAACATTATTTCAAGTTGAATTTCCAAGAAAACCTAGAGGTTTTTGTTTTGTTTTGTCCACTGTTATTTTGTTAAACTGGCTTTTTAAACTTCCTCTCCCCGCCACCATTGTTCAAGACACCCCAGCATCCCCCCCCACCCCCGCCACAAAACCTTGCCTCTGGTTTAAAAAAATTGGTTTTTAAAGATTTTAAATCCCCTAGTGCATTGGGGTCAGGCCCAAGCTTTGAAAAGGGAACCCAGAAGGCAGACTCCTCCTCTCTTCCTGGGGCCACTTTTGTGATGTGAAACTCAGCCTCCTTTGCCATTGTTCTCCTCCTCCCACCTCTGCCAGGCCCCGGAAATGTTCACCCAGACTGTGCTGGGTCTGAGTCCTAAGGCTTTGGAAGGAACTCTTTTTCCAGAGGCGCTGTGTACATTTAGTCAGTCTGGAGAGACACACAGCGTGTATTCCACACTCACGCATCGCACGGGTCTCTCTGCAGACGGAGTGATCAACATGAGCGTCCCGGTTGTGCTGCCCGTCTCCACAGACGATAAGGCTCGGCTGGAAGGGTGCGGCGAGTTCGTCCTCATGTTCAGTGGACGGAGGGTGGCTATTTTACGTGACCCCGAATTCTATGAGCATAGGAAGGAGGAACGTTGTTGTCGTGTGTGGGGGACAACATCTACAAAACACCCCCATATCAAGGTAAGTTTCCAAACCTTTGGAAGGGCTTTCTTGATCTATTTCAACTGAAGACGAAAGTAAGTCTTTTTAATTTCTTCATGGAGGACTTAGAAAAACGCCCAATGGAAGAATGCATTTCTAAGGTGGGTTTTACAAGCCTTAGCAGGTCTTTTTTTGTTTGTATGTTTTTAAGGAATAAAGAAATGTCTTTCTGTCTGAGAACTGATCTCAATGAGCTCTTAAGTCCTCAGATCCAGGGACGGCTGCATCTTTAACTAAATGGGACTGAGTAGGTAATTTAGCCTGACAAGAACCATAGCTGTCACTGTGCACACAACTGGAGCTGGAGCTGGCAGCCCTGTGCATCTTGAACATGCTCAAGGGAAATATTTTCCCACAGAGTGAGCCAAATGAACCACTGCTAAGCGAACTGAGTTCATGCTCTGTAGTCAAGAATGTTGTTAATGACATATTTTCAGAAAGCAAAAATCAGCACAGATGTGACTGAATTCCCAGAGAAAAGATTCTATATTTTCATAAGGATATTTTCAACAATGAAAAATTGTGTTCAGCTAAGCATGGTAGTGCCCGCCTGTAATCCCGGCTACTTGGGAGGATAGAAAGTTTAAGGGCAGCTTAGGCTACATAGTGAGACTCTGCCTCAAAAAACAAACAGAGAGTGTTCATTTAAAGTCTATCCTCCCAAAAGGCAAAATAGAGTGAACCCCCAGATTCCTTCTCGGCTTCTACCTGCTCTTGGTGATGGGGCAGGAGTGAGGGGATGTTATGGAATCACCGGCTGTGGTTCATTTGTCATAGGAAAAATGTGAAATTGTATCAAAACCTGTTCTTCATCCAAGAGGATGAAAATAGCCTACGCTACTGTTTGACTTCTCAAATTCCCTGGTTGGTGTAATTGTCAGCAAGTTTACAAGTAGCAAGGAAAGCAACCGAATGCTCAGGAGGCCTCTACCAGCCTGTGGTGGATAAGGCTGGTTGTCTCTCTGGACCTCAGCTTCTTCAGTGACAAACATGGGGACTAGATTCAAAATAAGTCTAAGGTCACCAGGCATGGTGGCACACACCTGTAATCCCAGCACTCGGGAGGCTGAGGCAGGAGGATGGCTGTGAGTTTGAGACCAGCCTGGGCTACATAGTGAATTCCAGCTCAGTCTCAACTACATAGTGAGACTCTATCTCAAACCACCCCCCCAAAAGTCTAAGGTCTTTTCCAGCCTGTCATTCCCACAGGAAATTATGCTTTGGTTTATTTTCTTTTCAGTTGTGAAATGTTCAAAGATAGGAAAAACCTCTGGCACCTCCCTTATCTGAACATAGAGCTCAATGAGACATAATTATCTCATTCGAGATAAATATTCTTGGCCCAGATAAAGTCTTCTGTACAGTTTTTCTCAGAGTTTGTCAGACAGTTCTTGAAACTGCTTGATAGTGACTCAAGCTGAGAAATATGTTCTTAGCATCAGTTGTATCTCTGATCATTTTTTTTCTCGATCATAATCACATGGGTTTGGGGTCACATCTTCTCTTAGTGACCCAAAGAATAACGGCCTTCCAATGTGCCCTTCAGATAGTTCTCTTTGAGTCTAACTTAGACGTCTGCATGACTTGCATAGGAAGCTCTTAAGTGATTGCCTCTTTCTCTCCACCTTGTCGTGCAGTGTGGGTCAGCAATTGAAGTCAATTCTTAGTGCAGATATCCCTGGTTTACTGACCTGACTGTTTAATGACTTTGACACTCACCACCTGCCACCTGGACTTAGAAACTGTCTTTTTTCCCCCGCTTATACAGTTCTGTATATCTCATTTATAGAGAATCTCAATGTCTTTTTTGTTGTTGTTCAGTATACCTTGTTTATACAATACTGTAATTCTTTTTTGTGGTTGTTGGGGTTTGGTTTGGTTTTATGAAACAAAGTCTCGCTACATAGTTCAGGCTTCCTTGAACTCATTCTGTAGTCCAGCCTGGCCCTAAACTCACAGGAATCCTCCTGCCTCAGCCTCTCGAATGCTGAGATTACAAGCGTGCACTACCATGCCCGGTCAGTACTATAATTTTTGCCGATTGCACCATTTTATGCTCTGTTATACATTACAGCACCGCATGTATGAAAGAGTTACACAAATAAAAGCAAAGTCATCGAGTTGGAGTTTCCTTCGCCTCTTTCTTTGTTCTGAATATTATAATGTACACACTGTGTACAGTTCCTCACTTAATGACCACTTCATTTAATGACCTAGTCACAGGACCAGAACTGGGTCATTAAGTGAGGAATAACTGCAGTCAGGAAGAGTAATGGTGTGACGGTGACCTTGACAATACTGTCAGTGACTCTGTACCATGAGGTCACTAGAGGGACTCTGAACGTTCCCGTGAGCTAGTGGTGAGAACTGGGCCATGGGTAGCCCAAGAGAGAAAGCCGCTTACCACACACACACTACCCCTTAGCTGTTGAAGGTACATTTACCTGACAACATAGGAGTTTTATTGGGGGGAACACTCTTTATTGTGGGCTTTTAGCACCCTGAAATTCAGAGTGATGCCTCATTATAAATTTTTTTAGAATCCACAGCCTTCCAAAAGTTGTCACTTCTCTAAGTAATCATGGGTCTCCTTCTTTTTCCATATGGCACTGGCCATGATATCTGCAGAGAACGGTCACAGTTGCCAAGTTAATGGTCTGCCTCTGGCCCGTAGCTCTTCACTGATAGCACTTAACCATCTGCTGAAGAACTTTTTGAGTCGCTAAGTATGGAATTCTGTGATATGATCTCAGATGTAACCCTGAGGAGGAGGAGGGTAAATGTGCAGAATTATACAGTGCTTTGGAAGACCCTACTCCCTTTCATCTATGGCCCTCAAAGCTTTTCCAAGCAGTAGTCATTTCTTGAAATAGTCTTTGTGAAGTATGTGAAAATCATTAGTCCCTGTATTATAGATGTAGAAATCAAAAGAATAAAATGTGACTTCCAGATGAAGGACAGGAATGAGATTTTTTTATCTTATTGAGTTTATTGGTACATTTTAAATATACAGTACAGTTACATTCATCCTTGGGATCTTGTAACTTTACATGACAGATCTTGGTTCTCATTTTTCCCCATACCCCTTCCCTCCCTTCATCCCCCTCCCCTATTTACAAAAACTTTATTTCCATTTTTTTCTCATATTTGTTCTTGTCCCTTACTTCCTTTCCCCTACCCTTCCCACTTCCCCTACACCTTTAGCCCTTTTCTTCTTATTTCACATTGTCAGTTATGCAATTTGTCTACAGCTATACAATTTTACTTTCAGTTTTTCACACCAGAGAAACTATTCGGTATTTACACCTGTATGTCTTATTTATTTCACTTAAGAGTATGGCCTCAATATGCATCCATTTTCCCTTGAATGACTCTAGTTTCAGGAATGAGATTTTATACCCGTTAGCTCTCGGTGAAGATCATTTACTCAGAGCAACAAAAATACCTGGAGAGCATTATAAATTACCTGTGACTGGCTCTCACCCTTACAGATTCTGATGTATCTGACTTTCGGTCAGACCTGGAACTTGGGGATTTTAAAGCTCCCCATAATTTGAACATGTTGTGAAGGTTGAGAACCATTTCATAAGTGAATTTTTTGGAGCTGTTTCCTGTATGTCTTTATCTGATATATTGACTACTAACAAAACTCTGATTACAATTGCTGACCTACATTCCGAGTCAAGATGAAAAGAAAGAAGTTGTCACTTAAGATCACGTAAGAGCTTTCTGTGCAAGTCATGTGGATGTATAAATTAGAGTCTGAGAGTGGAAATATCTGAGCTGGCATGATGCAAAGCCGTTATTCTTCTGGTCACTATCAGAAGATAAGATCCAAACCTGTATGGTTATGATCAGGGCAAATGATCTGATAAATATTCGAGGCTTATATTTCTCAAGCAGCTCTGACTCAGCACTGACTTGGCCCTTCCAGTCCCTGCCCATTCCTGCCCCGCCGCTTGGGTCTCCTGTCACGCCAACGGCCCCACCATCCACATGGCAGCTCATCGCCCAAGCCTGGATGTCATTCTTGCTTCTGTCTTCTCCTCTCGTTCATGTCATCACCAGGTTCTAACAATTCTGCGGCCCAGGTATTTCTCAGCCTTTCACTCCTCTTCCGTCCCACCTTGGACCATGCCATTTCATTTCTTCCCTCTTGTCCTACTCCTCATTAACCCCTTATCCCTTCCGCAGCCCGAGTGAACTGACCAGCAGCTACGTGGGAACCTTTTTGCAAAGACATGATTTACCTCTCAGCCTTTCACTAGCACCACCCCACATTTTCCCCCTCTGGTCTTTTCCAGAACTGGCCAGTAAATCAGGTTTTCTTTTACTTTTGCACACATGCGTCCCTCAGCTTAGGGCGCTGTTCTTTCCACTTTCACCTCTTCACCTTATTCCTTCTTTGCTCCCTGTAGAACTAGCCTGAACTCCCATGGCCCATAGGCGTGACTAACTGCCCTCCTGTGACTTCCCAGAGCAATGTGCACTTGTCTCATTCACACTTGTGACGGGTAATGCTGAGGATGATGCTGAGCTATTAGCATAGGGTCCCAGATGGGACAGGAGGTGCAGAGGGAAGAAGCTGGTTTTTCAGGAGCCCTAGACCTGGGTCCTGGCTTTGGTAGTACGGCTGTGTGCACTTGACCTCTGTCACTTCCTCTCTGTAAAACTGCCTTCTCATCTGGAAGTAAGGACATTAAGTCTACACCATGTCCAGGTCCCATAAAGCTCCAGATTCCATAATTTTGGCAGATGTTACAGAAATAAATGCATGTGCCTCACTTGTGGGGTGTTAGTTTATTTTTCTTCTCTTCTCTAAACCTACTACTCCCCCCCCCGCTCCTTTCCTTTCTCTCCTCTGCCTCACTTCATTCTGACCTCCTTCCCTTCCAATTTGTACATTACTTCTTCCCCAGATTGTTTCTTTGGAGTCTCCTCCCCTTGCCTTGAGCCTATTCCACTTACTGTAGCTTCCTTGCATCTTCACGCTCGTGTTTGAGTTCCCTGATCACTTCTTTTTCATCCTTGTTGTATGCGATTCCAGACCCAGTTCCTCTTTCTGTACTTCACCACACTCCCTAAGACTGTTCTTCATTCCTCTCCATACATCTGGTCCTCTAAATACCCTGGGAGTGGCCGTTCTGCCTATGGCAGGGAGGGAGTAAGGACTTTCAGGTCCTAAAGCATTGGACCTTCGTTCCTGATAGCTGGACATAGCTCTGGGGATAGGCAGAACCCTAGGAGAGAGAGCTGCCCTTGGAGAGCTGTTTCTCTCCATTGCAGAAATACTACACGCAGAGTTTCAGCATTGCTTTTAAAACGGATTTGCTTTCAGGTGGGTGGTGAAGAAAGTTGATTCAGAGCGTCTCTAAGAGGTACAACACAGTGTAAGACGGACCCCTAGCGTCCAGAATGAGTAACTGCACCCCGAGGGATTTTGTCTCAAACTTTCAACATTGTCATCTGTGTTCTAATTGTAAGCAGTGAGGACAAAATTATATACACATGTGGGTATTTGAAAATATTCTTGTCCAGCTATTTTCCTGAGCAAGAGTTTAGAAAGAGGTCCATAAATACAAAACCAAATCTCTTGCACAACTTCGCTCTTTGTTCCCTGGGTTTCTCAACCTTAGTATTATTGACATTTTGGGCTAGACAATTCTTTGTTGTGGTGGCTTCCTGCACAGTGTAGGGTATCTAGGGACATCTGTTGTCTCTACTCACTAGATGCCAATAAAGTACACTCACCTCTACCAGTTATGATGATCACCGTTGTCTCCAGATATTGTCAAACGTCATCGAGAGGGGCGGACACGCCCCGTGTTGAGAGGCACCGCTATGCCAGTCTCCCATTTCCTGAGCCCCTCTGGGATGCAGGTCACTGTAAGTCCTAAAATCTAGCCACACTAGGGAATTGTGAGCCAGAATTACACCATCAGTACCTTGGACCTTCTACTAGGTGTTTTGAATCAGCCAGCTGTCTCTCTCTCTCTCTCTCGCCACACTGTCTTCGTACAGATGGAATCATACAGGATTTGTCTTTTTGTGGCTGGCTTATCTCACCAAAATGTACTCAGGATGCATCCATGTTGTAATGTTTGATGGGATTTTCTTCTTTTTAAAGAATAATATTTCAGTACTTTTTGGGCCACCTTTTATCTATTCATTCAGTTGTTGATGGACATTTTGTTTGTTTCCATCTCTTGGTTGTTGCCAATAGCTACTATGAATGTGGGTGAGCAAATCTCTTTTTCCTCCTTTGGATATATGCCCACAAGTAGGACTGATTTTGCTTTTGTTTTTGTTTTTTCAGACAGGGTCTCGCAATATAGTTCAGGCGGCCCTTGAGCTCACTGTAGCCTAGGATGCCCTTGAACTAGTGGTAATTCTACTGCCTCAGTCTCCTTAGTGCTAGGATTACAGGCATATGCTACCACACCTGGTCAGAAATAGGATTGCTGGATCATATGGCAGTTCTATTTTTATGTTTTTCAGGAACCTCCATATTGCTTTCCATCGTGGCTGCACCTTTTACTGTCCCACTGTGCAAAGACTCCAATTTCTTCTCCACATCCTTGCCGATGCTTGTTATATCCTGTTTCTTGAAAACAGCCATCCTAATGGGTGTGAAAAGCCTCATTGGGGTCTTGAGTTGCCTTTGTCTTGTAATAGTGATATTGAGCTTCTTTTCACATGCATTTGGATACTGTAGATCATCTTTGGACATACAGTGGCACTCAGTTCATAAACATAATTCTTTCCACAATTCTGGTCACAAACCAAATTGGATGAGAATCGAATTGAATTCAATAGTTAGGTTCAATGTTGACTTATAAGGAAGTTTGGGTTGTGACCAGAATTGAGGAATTAAGTTTGTGAACTGAAGTACCCCTGTATGTCCAGTCAAGTCCTCCTTTGTCAGTTTTTAAATCAGGCGATTTATCATCAATCTGTTGGAGCACTTTATGTTCTGGATATTAGCCGTTTGCCAGATCAGATGATTTGCAAATTCTTTCTCTCATTGTATAGGTTGCCTTTTCATTCTATAGACTGTGTCTTTTAATGAAAAAAAAAAATTTTTTTTAATTTCAAGTAGTTAAAAAAAAAACAAAACAAAACATTTGAAGTAGTCCCATCTGTCTATCTTTGCTTTTGTTGCCTCTGCTTTGGGGCTATACCAACGAATCGGTGTCATGAAGCTTTCAGACTTGTATTTTTTCACAAAAGTTTAATAGTTTTAGATCGTATATCTTTGAACCACTTGGAGTTAATTTTTATATATGCTGTAAGAAAGGTCTAGCTTTATTCTTTTGCATGTGGAAAACTAATTTCCCCAATATATTTGTTGAAGATCACCACACACTCACACCCAGTATCCTGGCATCCTTGCTGAAAATCTTTTGAGAAAACAGAGGTTTAGCTAATACTCTGTTTTTAGCTGCATGTGTGGATTTTGCTGCATTTCACTGCTCTTTAGAGATTTTTAAATTTTAAGATAGATATGTGAATCTTTTAAGAATTTCCATAGAAATTGTGCCCCCAAACAGTTAACTGGTAGAAAACTCACTTGTCTGAATTTTTCTCCAGGCCCTCTATTTTGAGTCGCTACATTAATAAGGTCTGCCTTACATTAGACTGTATTAGGAATGTGCTAGCAGCCATTCCAAAAGTATGGTTTGCAGAACCTTGGAGGAATCTGTGACCTATCCAAAGACTCTCCAAGCTTGAAACTGGGCTAATGATAACTAAGACATTATTCGCCATTTTCACTCTCTTGACATTTACACAGCCAGTACAAAAATAATGGTGGGTAAGCTGGCACCTTAGGCTTGAGACAGTGAGAAATAACTGTACGTGTGTCCACTTTACTCTAAACACGAGAAACGTTCAGTAAGAAAAATGCCAACTTCACTTAAAAATTCTTGATAAAGCTGAAGAAAAGATTATTAAATCTTGACTCTTGAGTTCGTATCTTTTTCACATCCTGTTACACAAAGGGAGACCGTAGTGAAATACTTCTGCTGTATACATCAATTTACAGTGGCTGGCGTAAGGAAAAGTACTTGTGTGTTTGAGCTGGAGCAAAACTAGCCACCCCACTCCATTAAACTTCATTTTTACTTGAAAGAAGGGGTAATGTATGATTATCCGGACTTGGATTATTTGGCAGGTATTTCTTCCAAAGGAACAAATGAGATGAAAACTACTTCCGAATGAAAACAAGAGAATATTACTTGCCAGTGATTGGCCTTGAGGTTTCAAGCAAAGAAAAAAAAAAAAACAAAAACAAAAGCAAATTCTTCCCTTCACCGTGACCTTGGCAGCTTCACAATACTTAAAAATCTAAGACCAGCACCACCACTAACAAGCGTGTTTTTAAAAATCCAGCGAACTCAGTGAGCCAATATTTTCTACTTGACCAATATATTATGTTACAAAATCATTCATGGGTAAAAGACTCATTCAAAGCATGATGGATTCATAACACAACTGAGTATGAAAAGTGCACTCATAAAAGTTTCAGTTTTCAAAGTGTAGTTTACCATTAAGCACTCACTCCATTTTTGGTGTAGTATTAAAGAAAAATACCCACAATTTTATAAAATTATATACCTGCCTATGGTACAATTACATACCTACCTATACTTGGGGTTTTAATGTACTTTGGCCAAAACAACATGCTGTCATAGATTAAAGGCAGAAGTAGATATGAGAACCTAGATGTCTTCTATTGTCCGACATTAAAGAGATTTGCAAGCATGTGAAACAATGCCAGGTGCCTTATTTTGGGGAGGAGTAGAAATGTTTACTTTTTCATTAAAAATACTATTTATGTTAATGTGTAATAGATTTATGAATGTGTTAAATCAATAACTTTTAAAAGATTCCCCATTTTTAGTGTGGAAGATAATTATAGATACAACAAAAGCTCTTGGGGGTGTCTCAGTAATTTTTAAGAACATACGGAAGTCAAGAAACCAAAATTTTCAGAAATATTGTTCTAGAAATGCTGTAGAACTGAAGGCAGGTCTTCAGCAGGAACCCAAGACTGGTTCCAAAGGCAGAGAAGATTTTTCAGCTAAAACAGAAATCATGTTCATCGTTAACGACTCGACTGACTTCTCTCTAGATGGTGATGGAAAGTGGAGATTGGCTGGCTGGGGGAGAACTTCAAGTGCTGGAGCGAATACAGTGGAATGATGGGCTGGACCAGTACCGCCTGACACCTCTGGAGCTCAAACAGAAATGTAAAGAAATGAATGCTGGTAGGTAGGCCGGGTGTGAGGCATTTATCAACACTTTCTGATTAAAGAATTAAGGATATGAATCAGTACTTTTAAATGAGAACACTGATTATTATATCGATGATATGAACAGTTTAACGTTGCACTACCTTCATATCCTAGAGCACTAAGTAGAAGTTACAAACATATACTCACACAGAAAGATACCTAAATGTATTTACTAAACAAAAAAGCAATTTACAGAACAATATGTACAGTACAATTATATTTTGGAAAACTAAATAAGAGGCTCTGGTAGTTTCCACATCAGACTGCTGAGGAGAGCAGCTACCGCTTGGGGAAGGAGGTTGGGCTGAGAAGAAAAGGAAGATTTTCATCCTTTATGTATCTGAAGGAGAAAGAGTTAAGTAATGATAGCATTAAATGGTGGTTTTCATATTCTATCTTGGGCTTTCATGTATTCTCCAAGTTTTCTGTAAGAAATATATATTAATTACACTGCATAATGAGAAAAAGATTAAAGCTCTCAGGAGTCTATCAACAAATGGAGTTAATTTGTTTTGTTCTGTTTTTTGCTGTAATGGGATTGTACCCAGGAGCTTTGCACTGAGCTGTATCCCCAGACCTTTTTATTTTTTATTTTGTTTTAGGTTGTTGTTTATTGTTATTTTGAGATAGGGTCTCTCTATGTAGTTCAGGCTGATCTTGAACTCACTGTGTAGCCCAGGCTGGCCTCAAAACTCACAGCGATCCTCCTGCCTCAGTCTCCTGAGTGCTGAGACTACAGGCGTGAGCCAGTACACCCGATCCTATTTTTTATTTTGAGACAAGGTCTCACTAAGTTGCCTATACCAAGCTTGAAATTGTAGTCCTCCTGCCTCAGCTTCTCAGAGTGCTGAGATTACAGAATGTGCCACCATGCCCAATTTAAATGGAGGAGTTTTAAAGATTTCTTTAAAGTGAAAGCTTACATCTTTATATCTGTAGATTGTTGCCCTGTTTATGGGCTCCAGGAAGCATTTCTCATAATTATTCATCCCTGGAGACCTGAGACTGGAGTGAAGTACAGGGAACAGATTATTGCTGACCCTCCCTGAACCCTCGTTTGCAGCAAAGATCCTGCCAACAACTGTTTTCATCCTGTTATGGCTTCCTGCCTCTGTATTTTATCCTTTTCTATGTAATGTAGCATTGGTTAGTGGTTTTAACATACCTAATGGCCCAGATATATTCTCTAGCTGACCATTAAAAGTAAGTGCTTTCAGGGATTTAGCTCAGTGGCCCTATGCCTGCCTCACAAGCACAAGGTCCTTAGTTTGATCCCTGGTACAAAAAAAAAAAAAAAGCAAGGAATTCATGGAACAATAAATAAAGTTTGATTTTTTTTTTCTTTCTGTTCTTGTGGGCAAAAAACACTGTGTTTCTTTGACCTTGGCTTTTCTTTCCTAGATGCGATTTTTGCATTCCAGTTGCGCAATCCTGTCCACAATGGCCATGCTCTGTTGATGCAGGACACCCACCGCCAGCTCCTGGAGAGGGGCTACAAGCACCCGGTGCTGCTGTTGCACCCCCTGGGGGGCTGGACCAAGGATGACGATGTGCCGCTGGACTGGCGAATGAAGCAGCATGCAGCTGTGCTCGAGGAGGGCGTCCTGGATCCCAAGTCAACCATTGTCGCCATCTTCCCATCACCTATGTTATACGCCGGCCCCACAGAGGTGAGCAACTTCCTGAGCTGAACCATCAGACTCGGGATGCAGGCTCAAACTTTATTTAGCAGACTGAGACTCTGGGATCCTTTCTTAAGATTGTTCTCTCTTCTTTATCCAATTTCATAAGGTTTCTGTTTTGCATTTGTGAAAAATGCTAGAAATACCAAAGTGGCACCTATTATATATTGACTTGAGGATATGGAGGTTGGCATGTAACAAGGTGGATAGCAAAGCTTATCTGGATCGCAGGCTAAGCTGTGTCTAACCTAATATTTGGTGTCCTCAGTTCCAGTTACTCTATGCCAGTGGTAGTGAATGTAAGGCATGTGTGCTTCAGTGAGTACAAAGAGCCCTATCAGCACACGAGCCAAGTCACTCCAGCAGCCGAGTAACAGTTGTTTTTTCTAAAGTAAAACCTCAGTGTTCAGGTTTAATTGCAGTGTTGGCACTTGCAATTAACTAATTGCTGTGGGTTTTGGATTGAGTTTGGGCACTGGGTACCTAAAAGGTTCACCATTGCTGCTCTATGCTATTCACAGTGTCCTGTGATCAGCTTAGACAGGGGAGGCTGTCTTTAAAAGATACAGGTCTCCTTTTTATCATAACACAGTGAAACTATCAAACAGATTACCTTTATCCCACTGCACTAGCAGTATAGTGGGCTTGAAGGAGTTTCCAGGAAGTATGATGAATTGAAAGGGTCTTAACCCTTTGGAATACCCCAAACTGAGTCTAATGAATTCATTTTGGTGTCATATCAAAGTCCCAGGTACCTAGCTTTCCTCTCCATCCTTTGTATTTCTGAGTTTAAAAGAGGGCAAGTGTTGTGCTGAATGGAATCGATGTCTGATATGAAAGCTGATTAGCTCGTTATTGGCAGTCAAATGAGAGGTGGGTTTGTAATTTCCTTTAAATTGATATAAGTAAGGCAGGAATGGAAAATGTAAAAAATAATCAATATGGCAGAGCAGCATGAGCTCAGCATTCCTGGTATGCTAGCCTATTTGGTGATGAGGAAAAATAACCTCAAGTTCTAAGAGGAGGATTTGTACAAAGTATACCTTTTGTGTGTGTGTGCTACTGGGGACCGAACTCGGGTCCTTGCACTTGCAAGGCAGGATCCGGAACCACTGAGCTAAATCCCCAGCCCCAAAGTGTACCTTTAAAGCTCCAGACATAAGAAATGTAACTAAGTCTGAAGAAGAGCGTGAAGTCCTAGGACTCATTTGACTTTCTTGGAACTTTCAGCTGACCGGTGTTACTGAATTATTATTGTTAAAGCAGAATTAGAGTCTGTGCAAACAGAAACCCACAGACTTCACCCAGAATGACCTTTACATGATGTTTCCTAGGTCCAGTGGCACTGCAGGTGCCGGATGATGGCAGGGGCCAATTTCTATATTGTGGGCAGGGATCCTGCAGGAATGCCTCACCCTGAGACCAAGAAGGATCTGTATGAACCTACTCATGGGGGCAAGGTCTTGAGCATGGCACCTGGCCTCACCTCTGTGGAAATCATTCCATTCCGAGTGGCTGCCTACAGTAAAGCCAAAAAGGCCATGGACTTCTATGATCCAGAAAGGTAGGTTTTTCAAAGGAATATTACTTAATCGACATCTTTACAACTGGAATAATGAGGCAAAGTTTTGGTCCTTCAGAAAACTCACCAGTGCATTTCCACATACATCCAGCTGGAATCAGTCTCGTGAGAGTCACGAGTTGGTCTTACACATTTTGTGTCCCCTGAAGTTGTAGCACAGTCCCCTGCGTATGGTAGATGATCAATATTTCCTTTAGAGATGGGGATGTCACTTAGTGACAGAGTGCTTGTGTAACACATGTTAGACCTTGGGTTCAATCCCCAGCACTGTCTCCAAAATAATTTTAAATCTCTTCTCAACATGCATGCCTATCACATTAAACAAAAGGAAATAAAAACAACAAAAAAGGATTCCATTGAGTATCTCTCGTACACTTCTTCCCAGGCTGAAAGTTCATAAAAGTAGGCTAAAAAATAGAAAAGTTACTTCCAATGACAAGAGTATGTGCAAAGTCAATACTGAATAGAGAGCTGCTATTTCCCTTTTCTTCTGCAAATTTCTGCCCATTTTCAAAGCCGTGGGATTTTATGGAGAGAAAAAAATTGTGGATCTAAAAAACCCATAACCTAATTCCAGGAATCCTTGAGGCAGATGTTACTACCTACACTGAGTTCTTTGTTGCTGTACTATGACAGGCACAATGAGTTCGACTTCATCTCAGGAACTCGTATGAGAAAGCTCGCCAGGGAAGGAGAAAATCCCCCAGATGGCTTCATGGCCCCCAAAGCATGGAAAGTGCTGATGGATTATTACAGATCCCTGGAGAAGATCAACTAAATGCTCTTTGGCTCCAAAGTCTCCTTCTGAAGTGCTCTTTGATTACCTTTTCTATTTTTGTGATTAGATGCTTTGTATCCAATTGTTTCTCAGTGATTTTAAAGTTAGTATTTTATGAGGTACAATTGCTTTTCAGTGATTTTAAAGTTAGTATTTTATGAGGTACAAAATTGTGCATATAATTTAAAGTCAACTTCATATATGTATATACATATATATACATACATATATTTGTATATATATGTATAGATATACATATATGAAGATAAAAATCTTAGCAGGTGAAAGCAATATTGTTACACATTTCAGAATGAAATTAGCTATGCTGTCTACTGCATCTGAGCAGGTAGGTCCCAGATTTCTTAAAGCTTTGACCATGTGTCCAGTTTACATGTCAAAACTGGAAGTGTACTTTCCAGCTTATCCTTGGCAACCAGCAATCCCAATATCATATCCCAGTAGTAAAATAAATCAGATGAAATTCTCTTCCCTCCAACTGACTGTATACAGCCTACTGCCCAGTAACCTAAGTGCTGAGGACTGGAGAAACCAAATGTGTGATAATGTGAATTTAATCTTAGAGATCTATGCAGCCTAATTTCTGCCGTGAAAGTTGTATCATCTAGTAAGGAGAGGTCTTAACGGTCTTCTGTGAATAATGTAAGTCCAACATGGTGACATTAAATAGTGTAGCATGTTTTGATAAAAGGATTTGTTCCAAGGATCAAACAATCTGGCTATCTTTGCTGTGGTCATTATATCCTACAGACAGTCTGAGCCAATTTGACTGCAGTGGCAGCGGCTGTCACCAAAAATTCACACCATCAGACTAGCAAGGTGCTAGAATAGGAAAAGACCATGAAAACAATTTGAACCTTTCATCTTAGAGGTGAACAAAATGAGGTGGCCCATGAAAGTGCTCCCTGAGCTGCTGAGCACCATCACAAAAGCACAAAATCGACATCCGAAGTATTGATGGCCCTGAATGAGTGCACAGGTCCCTGAACACTCTGGTGCTGAAGCTCCTTGATCATTCGCCACTTAAAAAGCAGTCTTGGCTATAGCAAGGCCTGGGTTTTTCTAAACTCTACTGATCCTTAACTGTAGAAAACACTTTCCCAAGGACTCAAGCTGTTCTGAGAAATCCTGAGACGCCTTCACTTTTTGAGAGGTAATCTGTTGTACTTTACAGGTAATTCGCCATTGCCAACGAATGTTTGAACAACACCTTTTATATATATAATAAGTCTCTCTGGAAGGGACCTAGACTGGAAAAGAGAAAACTGTGATGTATTTCATATTGTCCATTTTAAAAAATGCTAGTCTTAGCTAATTAATAATTCTTTTGAGAATAAATCACATACAATGGCCACAGCAGTTTGTCCTTTCGTATAGTACTGAACATTTATAGATGTACCATTGCCTTTTTAAAAAGCAACATATTTATTGAAAACATGAGACAGGATGTTGTGCCTTAACCAAATGTATTTTTAAAAACATATTTAAAACTGCTCTTCTGCTCTACTGTGACACTTGTGCAAATGACTATTTCTGTATACAACTGATGCTTGCCCTTATTTTAATAAATTTCTCAAAATAATGGCTGAGTCTTTTTGCCTGCAACATCCAGTGTGGACTGAGCATATGGCTGTGGTGGGCTTTATAACAGTGTCTAATTGGAGAGAGACAGCAACAGCATCTCTTTAAGATCATCATTATGTGCCCTCACTGATGTCATTTTCTAAGTTGTGTTCTAGATATAAATGCAGATTGTTATTTTTCAGCAGTGACGGGTTGTCAGGGGCCTCTTTCCAGGATTTCACGACAGGCAGACCATACTTTGATAAATGAAGCTATCTTCCTTTCTCCTTTTTTCACAAAGGGACAGATTTCATTCTCAAAGTGTCCCCAGAGGTTCCAGTAGCAAGACTTGAAGTAGTTGCAGGTGTTTTGTTTTCCTCACACACGTCCACAAACCTTAGATTTTGTATTCACAAAGAAGTCACCTGTTTCACTCATGCTTTCAGTGGCCTTCAGGCTTGCAGCTTTCTGAATGTGATTCACTTTGGTCCTGAAGACTTAATGCAGACTTTGCTGATTTTTCTCCCAAATAAAATGCCTGTGATAGCCACTAAAAACACTCCCCACCAATGAGTGCAAGCAGAATTTATAGAATTCAACCAAGCAGTCTCTGCAGCCTACAGGACCGCTGGCAAACCGTGGATGTGTATGCTCTCACTTCCAGCATACCCACTTGTTACAGTACTGTCCTTAGCAAGTATTTATGGTTTCATGTGATGCAATGACCACTGAGTTTCTGACCATTCCCCATAATACAGTTTCTTTTGAATGAATACCTCTCCTTTTGCATAAATTGGTAAACCCAGATATGTGATAAAAAAAAGACAGTAAATATTTTTTAAAAATTTAAGCTACTAGAATAAAAAGCACATTGCCAGTGATCTCCCATAAAATACACCCGTTCCCAACAAGCTTATCCTCTTGTCACTTTAAGCAGTTCTGGAAGTCTTCTTTCTCATTGTTAGTTATGTTGTTATGTCTACCTCAATGTTCTGAATCAATTCCAAACTTTTATCTTTCATAGTCATTTTTTACTTTGGGGAACAGTGCTGACACAAATTGCCATACCCGAAGCAATATGACACAGAATGTCACATTGAGGCATGAAACCTGTTTCTCAGGCCATTTTCCATGCACATTTATTAAACATTCTAACAAGCCCTTATATCAGAGTTCACCATAGTGCTCTTGGGTACAAACTTAGCTCACACAATTCCATCAAGGTATAAAAGCACACCCACACAAAATGAATGTCACTTTGATGCTGGGTCTTGATGCCTTTTTATGCACAAGGAGAACTGGGTGATTTCCTTTGAGAATTCTGAACCACATATCCAAGTTTTACCCCTGTGATGACACCTCTTAAAAAGCTGGAAAATGCTATTCTAGGTCTCTTATGGTTCCAAATGAATTTTTGGATTCTTTTTTCTAGTTCTGTGAAATATAGTGTTGGAATTTCAATTGGCATTGCATTGAATCTGTATAGCAGTTTTGGTAGTATGGCCATTTTCACTATGTTGATTCTTCCTACCCAGGAGCAGGGGATGTCTTTCCATTTTCTTATATCCTCTTCGATATCTTTTTTCAGAGTGCTGTAGTTTTCAGTGTAGAGATCTTTTGCTTCTTTTGTTACATTGATTCCTAGATACTTCATTTTTTTGGATGCTATTGTGAAAGGAATTGCTTCCCTAATTTCTCTCTCAGTGAGTCTGTTGTGTACAAGGCTATTGATTTTTTGGGTATTCACCTTGTATCCAGCTACTCTACTGAATCTATCATTAAGTCGAGAAGTCTTTTGGTGGAGTTTTTTGGGTCTTCAATGTAGAGTATCATATCATCAGCAAATAATGACAGTTTAACTTCTTCTTTTCCTATCTTTATTGCTTTAATTTCCTTCTCTTGTCTAATTGCTGTGGCTAATGTTTCCAGAACTATATTGAAGAGGAGTGGTGATAGTGGGCATCCTTGTCTTGTTCCTGATTTTAACGTGAAAGTTTTTAGTTTTGGGCCATTTAATATGATGTTGGCTGTTGGTTTTCCATAGATTGCCTTTATTGTTGAGATATAGACCATCTATACCAGTTTTTTGCAGAGTTTTTATCATGAATGGGTGTTGAATTTTGTCTAATGCTTTTTCTGCATCTATCGAGAGGATCATATGGTTTTTGTCCTTGACTTTGTTAATACAGTGTATTACATTTATTGACTTACGTATGTTGACCATCCTTGCATCCCTGGAATAAATCCAACTTGGTCAGGATGTATGATCTTCTTGATGATCCTCTGTATTGTTTGCTAGTATATATATATATATATATATTTTTTTACTGTTTGCTAGTATCTTATTAAGTATTTTTGCATCTATATTCATTAAGGAGATTGGCCTGTAGTTCTTTTTTAGTTGCATCTTTCCCTGGTTTGGGAATCAAGCAACAGAGACAGGGTAGCAGGTATAACAATTTCCAATTTGAAACTATACTACAAAGCCACTGTGATAAAAACAGCATGGTACTGGCAAAGAAATAGATCTGAGGATTAATGGAACAGATTGGAAGACACACAAAAAAATCCAGATGTACTAGTTACTTCATCTTTGACAAAGGAGCTGACCATCCTCAGTGGAGCAAAGATAGCCTCTTTAATAAATGGTGTTGGAAAAACTTGATCTCAACCTGCCAAAGATTAAAACTAGAGCCTTATCTTTCACCATGCACTAAATTAAAATCCAAGTGGATTAAAGATCTAAATATTAAAACAGAAACACTAAACTTGCTGGAACATAAGTTAGAGAGAACTCTTGAAGACATTGGCATAGGAAAAGATTTTAGGAACAAATCCTCTGTAGCACAGGAACTAGCAGAATCAACAACTGAGATCTCATCTTATTAAAAAGCTTCTGCACTGCAAAAGAAACCAGCAACAGAACTAAGAGACAACCTACAATGTGGGAAGAAAATTTTACCAGCTGCTCTTCAAAGGATTATTATCTAAAATATATAAAGAACTCAATCAGCCCCCCCAAATATAAAGACCCTATTAAAAAATGGGCATCTGAAATGAACAGACATTTCTCTGACAAATTAGTAAAAACAGCAAGTAAATATATGAAAAAATGTTCCACATCACTGGTCATTTGAAAGATTCAGATGAAAACAACACTGAGATTACACCTCACCCCACAAAGAATGGCTGCTATCAAATCAACCAATAACAAATGTTGGCGGGGTTGTGGGGAGAAAGGAACCTTTCTGCATTGTTGGTGGGAGTGCAGACTGGTGCAACCACCATGGAAATCAATATGGAGATACCTCAAAGAGCTGGGACTAGAAGTTCCATTTGACCCAGCCATCCCTCTGCTGGGTATCTTTCCAAAAGAATTAAAAGAATCATATCACAGTGATATATGCACACTCATGTTTATAGCAGCACAGTTTGTAATAGCTAAAACTTGGAAACAGCCCATTTGCCCATCAGTTGGAAACTGGATAAAGATGTGGTTTTTCTATAAAATGGAATACTACTCAGCCATAAAGAATGAGAAATTAGATTCATTCATAGGAAAATGGACACATATTGAGGATATACTAAGTGAAATAAGTCACACATGTGTAAATACTGAATAGTTTCTCTGGTGTGAAAAACTGTAATAGTACACAAGATCCTAATGAGATAATGGACAATGTGAAATAGGAAGGGGCTAAAGGTGTAGGGAAGGTGGGAAGGGTAGCGGAAAGGTAATAAGGGAAAAGAAAAAAATATGAGAAAATGAAAATAAAATGTTTGTAAACAGGGAGGGTAGGAGGGGGTGAAGGGATGGCAGGGACAAGGGGAAAAAATGAGAACCAAGACCTGTCATGTAAAGGTACAAGATCCCAATAATGAATGTAACTGTACTGTATACCTAAAATGTACCAATAAATTAAAATAATAATAAAAATGTACTATTATAACTCACACACACACAAAGCTGGAAAATGAAGCTGTACTATCACACAACTCCTCCAATGAAACGTGTCGTGATCCATGATTTCTGGTACACTGTACTTTACTTTTTAAATGTGAGACAGGGTGTCACTATGTAGTTTAGTGTGGCCTTAAACTATGTAGCCCAAGCTGGCCTCAAACTCGGCCAGTAGTTCTCCTGCCTCAGCCTCCCACGTGCAGAATTACAGGTGTGTGCCACCATGCCTGACATTTAATGGTACACTTTAAAACACACCTTCTGCAACTGTAGCTCACAACCAAACAAGTTAAAACTGGTCACATACTGTGTAAGGTTCAATCCACTGCTTTTCAAATTGAAGATGCCTGCCTTCCCATTGGATGGCACTTGACTGCAGCATTCTCTGCACTTTCTGATCACACCATCTACTTGCTGCTCTCAAACCATTTAAATGAATGGAGTTCCTGAAGGCTCCTTTTCCTTTGAAAGGGCACTTGAAATAGTTCATTTAATCTAGCAGAATAAAAGCAAGTCTATTGGTCTGGAAATGCAGATCAGTGGTGCTGTGCCTGCCTGGCAAGCACAAGGTCCTGAGTCCGATCCCTGGTACCAAACAAAACAACAAAAGAAGCAAGCATATTAATTAAATAAAACTTTCTGGAGCCTTCCAAGTTTATATCCTTAGTCTGATTCTTTAAGTCTCTTTGATCTCACAAGTCCCCTATACTTTCAAATAAACTCTTATTTCTCTTGTCAGCTAGAATTGGTTGCTTTTAACAGAATGCTAATTGGTATTTTTAAAATTTATATCCATCACCCTCCTCAGGATGCCTGCAAAAGGCTTTGCTTTAGTAGATGACACAGCCATTTTGAGCATCTTATTTCTGGAATCAGTGCATTCTCAGAAGAACATGGTTTATGCACTACGGAGTGTTCTAGTTTCAGTTCCAAGTCTGCATGTCAGTGATTACTCGAATGTTTTGGCTCTCACTTTAAAACTCTGCTTGCGATATATCTGCATCCAGCACTAACATTTACTAGACTTTATTTCAGTGCACAGAACTTACTACGGTAAGAGTTCTCAGGCAGGTTTATGTAAATATTAAGACAATCACAAAAAAATATTCCTGCTTCAGTGATTTACTCACGAGACACTTATAGGTCATTAACACAAAAACAGCAGCAAGTTTATCCCAGTGTTACTAGGATGTCTTGTTTTTACTCACTGCTAAAACGTTTTCTATTAGGTTTGATCTTGTACGCATTTGATGTCTGTGTTCAGTCAGGAGACCATATTTTGTAAGGTTCAAGTTCTCCTGAATACATTTCACAAACATGACTGGGACATAATGTTTTTCTGAGCCAGGCATAGTAACGCATCCCTGTAGTCCAAACACTCAGGAGGCTGAGGCAGGAAGACTGCCACAAGTTTGAGGCCAGTCTGCCTACATAGTGTTTAAGGCCTGCCTGAATTACATAGTGAGACCCTGTCTCAAAAAACAAAAGAAAAAACCAAACAACAACAAAAAAAACAAAGTAAAAAGAATTTTTTTCCCTACATATATAAAGAGAACTTTATTAAAAAGATTACAGGACTTTATGCTGACCAAAGTGATAACAAATTTAACAAAGAAAGCTTATGGATATTTGTTAGTTCTATGTGGAAGGACTCCATAGCTTTGAGGCACCTCACTGGTGCTGGAGTTTTAGTTATGTACAGTATAAGAGAAGCTAAAAAGAAAATTATAAAATGCATATTATCCAGTTTATTTTCTTTTTGCAGAAGAAAGCTGTATTACTTGTCCATAAACAATGCAATTCCAGTTAAAAAAAAATTTCTTCCAATGAGATGCTAACATTTTTACTTATCAAGAATTAAGACATCATCTAGTATCAAGCCTGTGACAGACTCTAAATAATGTCACATTATTATGGTCCATACAGAATATTTAGGTTATTCCAGCCCCTCTGCAGATAAATTGTGAGTCTATCTACAGAGGAAGGGACTGGACAAGACAGAAAAAAATAGTAAAGGCAATACTGAAATCTCTAACTTCTGATTAAAATGGCACAGGAATCTCATGAAACACCAGACATCAGGAATCTTCCAATAAGTATTTAGAGCACACAGGTGATCCTTCTAAGCTCAATACCTAGACTATAAGCATTGGGACAATAAAAAAGATTTAAGCATGGAAATGCTTAAAGACTGAACCTGGTCATTGGATACACGTATCCGTATACAAAAGTAACACCATTAATATAGCAGCTAACATGTGAGCAGTACCTCTGTGACAGGCGCTGTGCCTAGTGCCTTACATACTTTATCTCACTGTCCCACGCTCTGAGGCCCCATTTACAGATGAGAAACAGGCTCATTATGCTGACCAGTCAGGTGTGGTGGCATGCACCAATAGTTCTAGCTACCCAGAGGGCTGAAGCAGAAGGACTGCTTGAGTTTAAGTCCAGCCTAGGTAACACAGTGAGAACCAGCCTCAAATAAACTAAAAGGCAACTAGCCCAAGGACACAGCTCATGGGGAGAGTGGAATTAAACCAGAGGTCTGATTCTACAGGCAATACATTTAAATGTTGCCAAAAGTGCAATGTTTTGGAACCTAGGATCTAACTTCAGACATGAAGGTATGTCTAAAGTATAAGGATAGATATTATATAACATCTTCCTTAAAATTATAAAAAAAGTTTGCTCATTTACTTTGCAGCCATAACATGTCTAGGTAGGTCCTGGATGTTGGGGTTGGTGCATTTCTCTAACTTCATTTGATGATGAAAACCATGACACGTTCAATAGCTACAACTGGATATCTCAAATTGAATATAAGATAAAAGAAAGGACACAAGGAGGGGATCTATTACCACGTCTAATCAACTGGCTATCAGATTAAAATTAAACAATTACTGAAATTTGTATTAAAACAGAATGTTATTAGATAATAAAATGTATGCAAAATAAACTGTCCAAATTCAAGTTTTATAAACAAAAGACCCACAAAATTTAACTGAAAAGACCACAGATTAAGTGGAGAAAAATCAACAAAGTAGGACCCCTTTATTATACATTTATAAAATAGTAGTATAATTATTAAAAATGGGACATTTAAACATTTTTGGTATCTTGTATTTTGCATTCATTTTTTTCATCATCTTCACCTTTCATAACCTGTTTTGCTATTCAAAGTATTCTCCTGTAAACTCTCCCCCATCAAAGTACAAGTCAACGAATAAACTACCCAACAGGTTTCTGTGAGAAGCATTCTTACAGAAACTAAGTTAATCCAATAACTCATGAACAAAGGTGGAGTTTTCAAATCAATGTAATAAAAATGAAAGCATCGGCAAGAGTATTTCTAACAATGCAGGAGGCACCTACGATTGTGCTGTGCCATGTTCCTCACGCTGTGTGTTTAGGTGCCTGTAACAGAATTCTGGATAATGGAATTTGAAACAAGACAATGTTTCAGATGTAGAACACTTAACATCAAATGACTACGCGTACATGAATTTTGATCGGGTACTTTTGTACTTAAAGAGGCCACAATTTATAATAAGCTGAGAACATTTTAAAAACTGAAGTTACAAAATGAGTATTTTTAGCACATTTAGTAACAGGTGCTTAAATTACTATTTCATTTTTGGTGACCAAATTATATTTGAGCATAATTTACACAACATGTGACTTTTAATGGAATTTTAAAGACATGGTTACAACAAAACTACCTTTTAAATTAAAAGAAAGGAAAAAAAAAATCACATATACATCTTAAAAGGTGCTGAAGTTTTTCAAACCCATTCTTTTAAAAGGCTTTCAATCCACCTTCTTGTAAATCAATATAACATTGTTTAAAAAGTCTTCTTAATGGCTTGCAGAAAGAGGTGAAATCAGTGCTGATCATACATCTGCCTTAAGCAATATTTTTATTTGATTATCCTTATAACCATTATAATTAAACCATATATTCCGATGTGCTTGATTCAACTAATCAATTGCAGACCGAAAAACACTCAACTTAGAAAAGGCTAAAACAAATGACAACTAGAAATGGTTGAATCACTGTACCTGTTAAGATACAACCTCAAATTGTAGTTTTCCTATATACTATTTGGTACTTTTGGATTCAGTGGTTGGGGTAAAAAAAATTTCTGTATTCAAACATATCTACAGAATGTCAATAAAAAAATGTGTGAGTATATACACTTAATGTACACACATACATACACAGACAAACGTCTAGAACCAGCACCTAACCACATCCCCACTTCTCACTAATGATTCAATGAGTCATTCATTCCTTTAAGACCAGCTTAGATTCTATAAGGCTGTGACGACATATGGCTAAAGAGGTCAAACACAAGCACCCACACTTGGGCTGGATTAAATTGTTCCTCTTCATGATTCTGACAAGTAGTAATACCACTTATATAACTATACCTCAATAATTTAGAATTCAGAGTATAAAACCATAAACATGGGACTCTTTCACTCTTTTAAGGGTACTCTTTCCACTCTACTTCCGCTGATAAGAGGGGACACCAAACTAGATCACTGAACTGTACAAATGATCTTTACTTTTAATCTAAACAAACATGTGTTAAAACATTCTGAAATGCTGCATCCTTTGATTTCTTCATCTTTTCAATTGCCCGATGCAGGTCTTGCTGTTGCACAGGCCGGATTTCATCTTCATCATGACTAAAACACAGACAAATCCACTGAGTATTCAAATAATTTTAGAATACACCTAAAATATTTTACCAAGATTAAAAAAATGCATGTGGTAAAAAATAAATTTGTCTTCAACTGGACAAAAGAGTACATTAATAAAGTCTCTTCATTCAAGACCTGAAAGACAACCACAATTAACCCTTCAAACAGATTCTTTCAGGAATTATCTACACATATATAAGCCATGAGAGATTTCTGAGCACTGATTGCTAAGAAGTAGGAAACAGAGATCAAAAGCATTCTCAACTTTGCTTAAGTATCTGGATTAATCAGGCAACCAAAAAATGGAATAAACCTCTCCACAATGCATTTCTAGAGCACTAGCAACGGGACCAGGACCACTGCATACATAGCTACTGGGTGACAGGGTAGCTGTAACGCAAACCATTCTTTCTCTATATATATAATAGATAGATAGATAGATAGATAGATAGATAGATAGATAAATAGATAGATGTATATATATATTATATATATATAGAGAGAGAGAGAGAAGAGAGACCTATATATAAAATATATATGTTTTAAAGTGTTTTGGAAGTGCTTGCCATGGGAACACACTATAATTAAATACAAGAATACCACAGGCAAATAAAGTGTTCTTGGAGTAAAAACATCAGGAAGTTTAGGAGAGGAGACTAAGAAATAAAAGGGCCAGAGTTAGAGAACTCATTCAATACAATTCCCCCAAATAAATATCCTAGTTTTTACCAAGAGTTACAGAAACTCTTTGTTAGTAACTTGATATGCTGAAAAGAAACGCTCTGTAGTACTGATCTAGAGCAAGCAGCCTTTTGGGAGACTTCCTTGAGAACAAAGTTCATCAGGGTTGAATTCTAGTAACTAATATTGTGGCTGGAATAAAGATGGTACAAAACAGACTTCTCAAGCTCACCATACTTTAAAACTGGTTTCATGTAAAATTTGCATTAGTGACAAATGGTTTCTTTAGTAAATACATCATTTTTAAAGTTGAGGCCCAGTCCTTAGCATCCCCATATCCCCTTCATTTACATATGAAATTTCTGGAAGACAAGCTTCTCATTTCTCTGTGTAATGGAATTTACAATGCAGAAGCAATCTAGGGATGCTTTCCTAACAGATGGGCAAGCCCAGATTTCCATCAGCTTTCTAGGACTCACTCCACAGATTAACCACAGAAATTCAGTTTTTAGTCCCTTTCATTCTAGAATCTCCCCGCAGTCCTTCTCTTCATTTTCAGAACTCCCCTTTAGAAAAATGGCAGTAAGTAAACAAGAGGGTTTACTAATTCTAATTTATATTTTACTCCTTTAAGCAGAGTTGCCATTATAAAGCAAAACAAAACAACTACAAAAAGAAAGCTAGCCTATAAAAGGCTTGATAATACTAAAAATCATATCTAAGTCCGCATACCTTTCTTCAGATGTAGAATTAACATATTCCCTGACACAGAGGAGGGCAGCATCTCGACACATCTCTTTTAGATCACTTCCTGAAAACCCATCAGTTTCTTGAGCGACTTCAAGCAGGTCTACATGCCTGTCCACCTTAAACAAACATGACACATGCTTTAAAAAAAAACACACAAAATATACTAACATCTCTCTTAAAGAAATTTAAGCATATTATAATGCATGAAGTAAAACATTAAAAAATGCTTTTGGTTTCCAGAAGGTTTTTTCCCCCCAGTACTGGGCATCAAACTCAGGACCTTGCACTTTGCAAGGCAGGCAGAAGCACTGCTAAGCTAAATCCCCCGCTCTCCAGAAGTTTTTGTTAACCAAACAAGCTTACATAGTGAAAATCTAACATTCATTATTTGTATGATGACTAAAATAGAAGTCTCACTGGATACACTGTAAAGTGACGGCACAGAACAGACATTCAAATCTTGTTGGATTAACTTTGGTACCTCTCAGGCAGATATTGAGCTGTTATGTTTCTATAATATATTCAACATATTTGGCAAATAGCCTGTATCACTGAGTCCAGAACCCATTACATGGAAGAATAAAATCATTATACTAAACTTACATAAAAACTGAGAAAAGAAATGAGCAAGAAAAATTCCATCTAGTAAATGATCCTTATGTCTCAGTCTCTCATTTAATCCTGTCAGATGAGCACTGTCATTTTCTAGTAAGAATCACAAGATCTGGGAATGTTACTAGGTTACAGTGTAGTAAAAGTCCAACTATGTTTTCTCCAGGATAGCTAACCAGTTGTCATAAGGACATTTATCTCCCCTAGTGGTGGTGAGCCTGTGGCATACATATTATTTTTCTTTTAGACAAAAGATGTTAATTATGAGTTCTTTTTTCTAAACTAAAATCTCAAATGTTCAAATTTAATTGCAATGTTGGCACTTTGTAATAAATAAAATAGGTTCTGGGTTGCAGTTTGGGCACTCATCTCTAAAAGGTTCACCATCACTGATTTCCCCCAATGATGTGAAATGCTGACTTTATTAGCACTAAATAAATTCCCATCTATAATTGTGAAAGACTCATGTTTAAGTAAAACAGCAATTCTACGTAAGATCAAGGAACCTGGAAGCACAACAACATGGGGTCTACTGCCAATCTGCTACTATGACCTCAAATGACAGGGCTCTCTCGTTCTTAAATGTGAGTCAAATGCAGAGAAAGCACACACTCGGATAAAAAGAACTAAACAAGAAGACAGGAGTGTGCAAGCAACCACAAAAAAACCAAAACAACAACAACAACAACAACAACAAAAAACAAACAGGACCATAAAAATACAGATAAATCTAAACAACCTTTACAATTAATAATCATTTAATTTGGGGTACAAAAATAAAGCAAAACCAAAATGCTGGCTTACTAGAGCATGTAAGATGCAGGAGACATCTACAGTTTAGACATTCTAAGGTCTTACAATTATAGCAGTGGAAAGAGGGCAAAGATACTAATAATGAGACTTTACATGTACATGTCAAAAAGTATTAGGAGTACCACTAAAGAATAGCAAGAAAATATACGACTTCGAAATCAGTAGAGCAAGACTGAAAAGGGAGTAAAAATTATGAGTCATAATACTGAACACAGAACGTGAGAGTAAGAGTGAAAAGCAAAGAAAAGGCCTGCTACATCGGAAGTGCTGAAGAATGAGTCCAAAGTTATTAGTTACTACCACAAATGCAAAGAAACTCAACTAAGCTAGTCAAAGACAAGACACATAATATTTTGTAAATGTACCCATCTGATATTTTAATAATTACACATACACTCAAGAAAAAAGTTTTGTGCTACATTTGAAAGAAAAACTGTTGACACTAGGTGCATGCCTGTCATCCCAGCTACTCCGGAGGCTGAGGCAGGAGGATTACAAATTTAAGCAACTTAGAGTCTGCCTCGTAATAAAAACAGGAAGGGCTGGGAATGTAGATTAGTAACAGACTCTACCTAGGTTTAACCCCAGTACTATAAAAAAAAAAAGTCAAAAGTAAAAGGTTAAAAAATGACATACAAAGCAAATAGGTAGCTGAAAGAAGGAAAATGTATCTGGTTACATTAGTTCAAACATTTTTTAGTAACTGTACAATTAGGAAGACAAGTCATTACGTAATGATAAAGAGTAATTCACTCGATTTTTTTTTTTAAAACTTTACCTGTATACACCTAACATCATGGTCTTAAAACATAATTATTTAGAAAACTGGACAAATCCAGAATAATACTGGGAGATTACTTTTAACATGCTTCAAATACTGACACATTAAACAAGTTCTTAAGACTAATTAGCATTAGCACTGTAATCTAATGTGTACATAAAAACTTTGACTACTCATCACAGGAATTCTGTATGTAATTTGGATATTAGTCCCTTGTTGGTTTTAGGATTGCAAATGTTTCCCCAATAGATTGATTTTTTCATTTTGTTTATCTTACTCTTTGTCATATAGAAACTTTAAGTCTGATTATAGTTCATGTTTGTCTATTTTTTCTTCACTTTAGTTTTTACTTTTTTGTGTCTGAGGAAGTCTTTACACTCGTATATAGGAAGTTGACAGATCGGAATATCTAATTTCTCTACTGTTTATAATAATAAAAAAGCAGAAACAGCTTACACATTTGTACATGGATTCAATTCTCTCCATGATTCTGGCTGCAAATTGGACTGGACAAGAACCAAATCAAATTTCGCCATGAGGTTAACACTGAACTCCTGACCACTATTTGATTTGGTTCTCTTTCAGCTCAGTTTGTGACCACAATCATGGAAAGAATCAAGTTTGTGAACCAAGGTACCACATACAGTTTCTGTCCACACATACTCATGGAGCTGATCTACACTATTAACTTCTAGACAGCAGGTTAGGTGGCGAAGGGGTGCAGGTGAAGAGGTGTCTTAGTTGGTTGTTAAGGCTATACTTTTTTTAAAAACATGAAGCAAATATCATAACACATTAAAAGTAACCTCTTAAATCTCGGTACAAAATAGAAGACTGGTTGTTTATACATTTGATATATTCCATAAACTTAAAAAAACTACCTTAAAAGACTTTCCAAATTATAATCTGAAGTGGTAAAAACCAGTCCTCCTCCCTCAAATGATCAACACATTTACCCTATTATATTCTAACCAGTCATATACACCTTGGGTATGATAGAATGATATGGTTACAAAGATGGAGAAACTAAGTATAAGAAGGAAAAGAAGGTTCCAGTCACTTCTGTGTGATCCCAAGCAAGTTATTGTATAAATTCTCTGCTTCCTCAACTGTAAAATAGGACTAAAATGAATCCTTAGAAAACTTAAGTGTAAACAGAACAATATATGACTCACCACAATGCTTGTACATGAAGAAAGTACTCAAAAAGTAGCCCATTTTATTGAGATAATATTCATTAGATATTTTAGAAATAATAAGCAAAATTAGAATAAACTAACAAACTTCTAAAATATCTTGAAAGAACAGCATTTTTTCTTTTCTTTTTTTGCAGTGCTAGGAATGGAACTCAGAGCCTCCCTCCCATATGCTAGGCAGTGCTCTACCACCCAATTATTCCTGTAACCCAAGAACAGCACTTATTTATATGTAGTTATTCATTATTATGTATTGACTGTACACCTGCTATCATTTGTGATATTCTAAGTACACATAAAAATTTTCTTAAATTCTCAATGATTCCATGAGTTTGTTGGCTTCTATTTCTCAAATGAGAAAAATGAGAGATGCTAAACAGTATTTGGCTGAGGACACACTGCAGGGAATAGTCAAGCCAGAATGTGGGAGATTCTCAGGTCTGCCTCCAAAGCCCACGCTTGTTAACTATTTCCAGTATGTTATACAAAACATCTCAGGCACCCACCTCACCACATGGCTCTGCTGTATAAAACATCTTGGAGAAG